TGCTTCTGGCGACCGAAACGCAGGACAAAATCCATATCCACTTGCGTCCTAACGCACACAGCACAAGTACGGTCTTGTACCTCATCACTCGGCAAGTGCCCGCCCCAGCGCCCTACATTATATTCCTTGGGATTTTCTCATGGATTGCTTTTAACAGAAATTCGTCCCTGATTCTCGGAGACAACTGTCCGTAGAAGGGCCGAGTTACGGCCAAAATGGCGACACTTCCGTCAGTCAAGCAACAGTCCTGATGACAAGCAACCTTTTGTTCCTTCCAGAACTTTCTGCGACAACAAACCAAACACGGTCTGGACCAGAACCTACCTCAGAAGAATGCAAATTATATACCAAAAGTAATAAACTTCTTTGCATGAAACTTCTTCTTCGTCACTCCCAGGCTGGTCTAGTCCCCGCACCAAAAATAAACCGTGCTACGCAGCTTCACAGCAAGGAAAACAGACTTTCCGAGTATTATTTTAACACTTGTAAAGAGTGCGGAGGGCACGGAGGAGGCATGAAGGAGGGGGAGGGGGAAGAGTGATGGAGACTGGAACTAACACGAATCTGTCGTCGCCGTGCGGGTTGTTCCTGCAGTAGAGGAGGTTGTACCGCTTCTGGAGCCCGTTGCTGAGATTGTGGACGCCCTTCGAGTTGCCCCATCGATAGCCATCAACACGGAAGGTACGCCGTACTTGGTCATCGGTGAGTGTACCCCTCGGATAGAGCGCGCAATCGTAGACCACAATGGTGCTACCTGCGGGCCGAAAGATCGGGCCATTGGTGCACACCAGTTGTCGATTCTTGTCAACTTTGTCTGCAACAACATGTCCATTATCACTCACTGCTTTGATTTATCCAGCACAAGCCAGTCCCGTCTAACTAACCAGCTCGGCAATGTCTCCTGTTTGCTTTGTTTCTGTTTATTTAACCTTTTTTATGCCCCCCTTCCACTGCACTCTCAGGCTTTGCAGCAACAGCAGAAGTCAGTACTTTTCAGGCAAACTCTGCGCCAGGACCGAGGCGCCTGATATAGCTGCGCTCGGC